TATACATGTTGTATACATGTATACAACATGTATATAACATGTAAACTTGTATACAACATGTATACATGTTGTATACATGTATACATGTTGTATACATGGGTCAGAATTTGGCGTCAACAACATGAAAGCATGGATCCATCCTGCCTTGTATCAATGGTTCAGGCTGGTGGTGGTGGTGTCATGGTGTGGGGAATCTTTTCTTGGCCCTCTTTGGGCCCCTTGGTACCAATTGAGCATCGTTACAACGCCACAGCCTACCTGAGAATTGTTGCTGACCATGTCCATCCCTTTATGACCACAAAACTGTTACTAGCGTGGTGTACCTAATAAAGTGGCCGGTGAGTGTATATATATCGCTCTTTCTCCAAATGTTTCTCTGTATACCTCTTCATTTCACAAACTAAGTTAACTTTAGCTGAAGTGCTGTTGTATTCTATAAAGACCATCTGTGTGCGTTTTATTGCAGAAATGGGTGAACCGAGAGATTTCCAACTTCGACTATTTGATGCAACTCAACACAATTGCAGGCAGGACGTACAATGACCTCTCCCAGTACCCAGTGGTATTTTCATTAGTTTCCTTTTTTTATACATTTTCAGAATTAAACCAATCCAGAGTAYGGTCACAGAACAACAGAAAGGTCACCACCTTTCATTTCTGGGGTTTTACATATCAAGACAGCTTTTATCTTCATCYATAAAACCCTGAAACTGAAAGAAGTTGAGTTCTCTTTGTCCTGAGACTGTAAATCTCAGTGTTTGAGGTAGTATTTTTGTTTTGTTTGTCCAGTTTCCTTGGATTCTGTCCAACTACACCTCAGAGGAGCTGGACCTCTCTGACCCACGGGTGTTCCGGGACTTATCGAAGCCAGTAGCCGTGCAAAACGAACGCAACGCTAAAGTAGTCCGAGAGAAGTATTYATCATTTGTAGAMTCTTCGTGTTCAGAAGATTTAAAARTACTCAAATGCAGATGTCTAACCTTTTGATGTGTCTGTCAGGTATGAAAGTTTCGAGGACCCAACAGGGACCATCGACAGGTTCCATTACGGCACGCACTACTCAAATGCTGCCGGAGTGATGCACTACATGATCAGAGCTGAACCCTTCACCTCCCTGCACATCCAGCTGCAAAGCGGACGGTAAGGCGTCCTCCTCACCTTCATCTGTTTCTCCTGAAAATTCCCAAAGATTGAAAGCTTTAATGGAGCGCCTCGGTTCAGGTTTGACTGCGCCGACCGCCAGTTCCATTCCATCCCGGCAACGTGGCAGACCCTCATGGATAACCCCAATGACGTCAAGGAGCTCATCCCCGAGTTCTTCTACTTCCCAGAGTTTCTGGAGAACCAAAACGGTGACGTCTGACTGCATGGCTTAGGAGAGGCACGGCATCTTTGTGAAAAAATTAACTCTGTCTTCTTGATTCTTCATCAAACCAGGCTTTGATCTAGGCCGCCTCCAGATCTCTAAGGAGAGGGTGAACGATGTTGTTCTTCCCAAATGGGCCAAGTCCCCGGAGGACTTCATTTATAAGCATCGCAAAGCTCTGGTGAGGCCCAGTTTAATTTCCACTGTTGTGAAAAGGTGTCATGTTTGGAGATTATTGGAGAAAGAATCGAGAACTTTCCCTTTAAGTCAACACAACCAGCTGATGCACGAGTTTTTATATTTGCTGTTTCACGTAAYGCCTTTCGTATGTTTTTGTCACCCATGACATCCGTTTGTCTCCAACAGGAGTCGGAATATGTCTCGATGCACCTCCACGAGTGGATCGATCTGATATTTGGTTACAAACAGAAGGGCCCAGCAGCAGTGGAAGCCCTCAACGTCTTCTATTACTGCACATATGAGGGTAACGTATCATGTCATGGWTTGAGTTTGTTTTGTTTTGTAAAGGTAGAATCTCACTGAGCTGYGACTGTTGGAGACTCAGGATTGGTAGAAAATTGTGAGAAAACAGGCAGATTTTTGTTGCAGTTGTTGACCAGCGAGCCATCTGGCCACATTCTGTGCCGGCAAGCCGTTGAAGTGTAGCCTCGGATATTTCCTGTCAWAGGAGACCTCCTGTAGAAGTTAAAAATGCAGCTCTAGAATTTATGGAATGGGCCGGTTGGTAATATAATCGTTTTAGCTGTTAGTGATTAGCTGTTAAAGTTAGTTTCTGCCAAATTTTTTTTCTTTTTTTACATTTAGTGGTTAGTGAAGCTATTTTTTTTGTTAGCTGTGCCCACCACCAAATATGACCATTCAGCTAAATTAATTCAATTAATATGACTATGACCATTCAGTTAAAAATATCAAGATATTATTTTTGTTTTGAGGAGTTGCTAACCAATCGGTTATGGGGTTTTTTTCCCCCAGTTTTAGTTGCTTTTGAGGTGGGGTATGGTGTGAATAAAGTTTTGGTTCAGTTTAGAGTTAACTACAGACCAGAAATGGTTAGTTTTAAGGAAAATGTCTGGGTTAGGCATAAATACAGCTACAAAAATGAATGTAAGTCAATACAAAGTCCTCAGTTTCATTGTACAAGTACAAGGATGTGTGGTTKTGAGTGTGTGTCAGCTGAGCAGGTACTGTGAATAGGAAGAAGTTTGAGCCTCAACGATTGTGTGACTATTTCAAGAGAAAGTATCTAAAAAAATTTTTRAACGTGTTCAAAATTTAAGTAAAAAGCTTGAACCAGTACAGCCCAGTGAGACACCAGTTTAAGTGTAATCAGTTAAAGTTRACTGTAACTGCAGGGGCGGTGGACTTGGACGCCATCACTGATGAAAAGGAACGTAAAGCTTTGGAAGGAATGATCAGCAACTTTGGTCAAACTCCCTGCCAGTTACTGAAGGTGTGAACATGATATCTGAAATGAAAATAAAGACTTTAATCTATGCCAACATGGTTCAATGTGTCGATGAGCCTCATTTAGACTGTGTTTGTGTGTTTGTCATCAGGAGCCACATCCGATGCGTCTGACTCAGGAGGAAGTGGAGAAGAGGAAGGCTCAGCAGGACTCGTGTCCTCTCAACATGTTTGATCACCTCAGTGACCTCAAGTCTTTCTTTGTTGAGGTTTATTATCTTTACCTTCTGTTGATCGACTTTATCAAACTGATTATCGTACAACTGAACAAAGTCTCTCCTCGTGTTTCAGGGTATCAGTGACAACGTGCCGCTGGTTAAAGCTGTCGTGCCAAAGAATCAGTCCCGGTCCTTCATCACCCAGGGGAGTCCTGACACCATGGTGAGCTCTGAACCCTTTTTATAGATTTCATTTAGTCGTTCTAATGACCACTTTAAAGCTTTTTGAAGAATCTTTATATGGTTTCAAGTTTTTTTTTATTGTTTAGCCCAACAATAGGTTTGGGCAAAATACCTTCGTTTGAATATATAGACTGATAAGTAGATAGTTAAGTACAATACAGGACTGTAGCCAAAATTTTGAAAGGGGTGAGGTTCTGCCTCAGGTAGAGGAGAACAAGTAGCTTGGGGAACACCTTGGATTCCTCCCAGAGGAGCTGGAAGAAGTGGCTGTGGAAAGAGAGGTCTGGACCTCCCTGATCAAGCTGCTGCCCCAAAGACCTGACTCTGGATGGATTTAAGCTGGGGGTATGGGGGCCGCTTAGTTGGTGGGCAAAACAGGGCATTAATTGCTCTTAAAGCTCCTGCTTTTTAAGGATTTTAGAATAGAGTAAGCTCCATTGCTCCAGAGTGCAGTAAAAAAATGATGAAAATATGGTTCATATTCTATTACCAACGCTGACCCACACAGAATCACGTGCACTAGTTTTTTWWTTTTTTTGTGTAAACCACCACCACCAATTCCCTAGGGGGAAACCCTGGTTTTATTCCAATAGAAAAGTATCGATAAGAGAACCGTTAAAATACCGGATCGATAAGCAGTACCGATAAGAGTAGYAGTATCGATAAAACCTTAACTATACCCATCCCTATTTACGTAACATTTWGCTTAGTATGAAAATAAACATAACGTGAAAATTAATCTGACTGCCTAGAACTCATTCCTTCRGTACAGTCCTACAGCTACACATTTTCTGACATAATTCTTATTTCTTTTGTTCAAACCAATTACCCTTTCAAATAACATGATCCTGCAAAAGGCTTCATCACTGTTGCTCCTTTAAATATACATTATTTACAAATACCACAAGATGTTATCATTTATCGTACTGTTTACAAATATAAGTATAAGCACTGGTATAACTGAAACAAATCTGGTTTAAAATGTGGTAGTAGCTGAGAGTCATTCCCACCACAYATTCGAAGCACTATCATCCTGTGAGGTCTTTGTTATAAATTTTGACCTGCAACTCCACCTAAAAAATGGCCGGCTTTCCCCTTTGTTAAATATCACCCTGGGTGTACGGTTGTTCCAGTCGTGAAGGAAGAGGGCTGAACTAAGCCAAGATCATCAGTATTGTTCAAAATTACTTTGTGCATGAAGGCTAACTGTTGAGGTGTATACAGGGGTCGCGTTAACWGAATATTTTCCATATTTGACCGTATATTTTTACACAGTGACGAAAAATCTTGAGGGCCGTCTGTCACTTTGACACTCACACATGGAGACATTTACAGCTTTATGCACAGTCGGTCTACATCACGAAGGTGTCTTAKTCAATATAAAATAAATAAATGATTCCTGTCTGGTCATTATCTCAGATCTAGACACCATACTGACTGCATCTCGCTATCCAGGAGCTGACAGCGCATTGAAAAGATAAGGACAGGAGGCTTTGGAGCGCGTCTGTGACCACTACRGGTCACAAAACAAAACGCAGCGTAACTGAAAACCAGTGGTGCACCGGCAGCCCATGCTGCAGGATTTCCTCCTGGTAAAACAACAGCTTGTGGGACTTGGAAATCCCTCATTCAGAAAGTCTTGCCGGCTTCTGATCACTTCAACTGGAGAAATGTTTTCTGATATGAACCTTTGGCTGAAGTGGTGCTTGTTATTCCAGCAGTGTCGCATCAGTGTTGCAGCAGAGCGCAAGATTAGTCTTCAGAACCGGCGCCTGCACATGTGTGGCTGTAGGCTACTCACCCTGCATACCTTGAGATTTTCCTTTGAGTTAAAAAATCTTTTATAATTATTTGACTTTTTACTTGAGCAGGCAGGGAGAAGCTGCTCCAACATCGACACAGGCTTGTTTCCTGCAGGCTGGTTCAATGGTGCTGCAAGGAAAAGGGTCCCCTGTGAAACAATCTACTAGCGGCAACTAATTTCTGAACACTGAACCACTGGTGATGTGTCCAGGCTATTTGAACCTGTATGACTATATATGGAAAATTCATATCATAGCAACAATCAAGAACAGTTTTTGGTACGATTCAGTATACTGCCCAACTGTAGAAGCAAACGGTAAATGCTATATGCTGACCTCTTTTAGGCAAAGTGCACGGTTCGTCCAACCCCCTGAATCCCCCCCAGATACAGGTCTGCATTATGTAGGTAGTTTGGTAGGACATGTAGGTGGGTAGATGCAGTATATTTTACCTGTTTGAAGGATAAAATGAAAGAAATGAATCAGAGATCACATTGAACTGTTGCATCTTTCTTGTGGCTTTAGGTGACGTTGAGTCAAAACTGCCTGATGGGGACCCATGGCTGGCTGCCTTACAACAAGAACATCTCCAACTACTTCACCTTCATCAAGGACCCCACAGTGTCCAACACCAAGTGAGAGCAATGTTGCTGGAATTTGTTTGTACCCTTTGGATCAATGAAGGAAACCCCATAAGGGTCTTTGAAATATCAAGACTCAGTGGACCACTTCTAAACAGTCCAGTGTTTGGTTCTGAGTCAATCTCGGGGGGTATTTGCTGTGCGTTTTGGGTCATTATCCTGTTGGACCCATGCATGACCTGCTACTCAAAAAAAAAGAAGAAAAAAGCCGAAAAGCATTTTAAGTTCTCTCAGTATTTCCCGTCCTGTGTTTGTGTCGTCTTCCTCCAGAACCCAGCGTTTCCTGTCAGGACCTTTCGCCCCCGGCGTGGATGTAGCAGCAGGGCTGTTTGTCGTCTCCCACGACGGAAAGTTGCTCTTCAGCGGGGGACACTGGGACAACAGCCTTCGTGTCACCTCGCTGGTTAAAGGCAAGACAGTGGGACAACACATCAGACACATGGGTAAAGAAAAGCTTGAATTCTTTAGTCTGTCCAGATTTGATTTGTTTCGTCCTCTGAGGTAAAGATGGAGGAGTCGTAYTCTTGAACATTCTCTTGTTCCCTCCTTCAGATATCGTAACTTGTTTAGCAACAGACCACTGCGGGATCCACCTGATTTCCGGCTCCAGAGACACAACCTGCATGGTGTGGCAGGTTCTGCAGCAGGTCAGAGGAACTGCGCCTCACTTATTCAAAAACGTGAATGTCTCTTTTTTTATTCTTATAGTTTACGTGAAACATTTTGTTCTCTTTGTTTAAAAAGAGTGGAGCTCCTGTGGGCCTCTCCCCCAAACCTGTCCAGGTGTTGTACGGACACACAGACGAGGTGGTCAGCGTCGCCATCAGCACCGAGCTCGACATGGCTGTCTCTGGATCACGAGTAAGAAATCACACTAAACTTACTTCAAGACGTGCCTTTTTTGTATTTAGGTTTCTGTCGACACAAACTGTTAACTGTAACTCATTGCTAACTGTCCTGTTGCTGCTGGAAGGCCTAAAGAACACATAAAGATGGAATTTTGTTGTACCTTTTTTATTTAAAAGAACATGCAGTTAGTTGCACATCTTGGCCTTCATACATTATTTCTCTATTCTACTGAAGGTTGTTGTTTGTAACATGTAAGAACTCTTAATTACTTTTTAAAAAATAGTTTTATTATTATTATTATTATTATTATTATTGTTAATATTTTACATTTTCCACTAAAGCACATTGCTATGTATTGATTTTTTAGGATATTTGTGGCGTTATCGCCAAAGCTGATATTATTAGCTTAGGAGCTAGTGTGAAAGCTTAAAGTCTAAATCTGAGGTTCTCCATCCTTTTCAGTTTTAGGTTGAGTCGTTTCTACAGTCTCACTCTGGTTTCATTTAAAAAGGCTGAACATTAGATATTGTCCAAAATTAACGTTCAATCTGGATAGAGCTTGCACCGGAGCAGCCAGCAAGCATCATTTACCCAGAATGCTTTGTGGCGTAAATAATATGGCAATGTACATCTGACAATATATGCTTTTTTAATTTATAAAAACTAAACAGCTTACAGTATTTTTACAGACTATTTTTTATGCAAAGTAAATGTTTATCAAATTATGTAGTGGGAATTTTCTTTAAAGTAACAAAATCATTAAAAAACTTGAAACTGACAAAACAATTAGAAAAAATAGATTGAAAATTAACTCAGACAGTATTTGAATGATGAAATCTCAAGACTATCAAGGCAGTCTGTAGTGAAATTTGCTACCTGGAATCAGAAAGCCTGAACAGATCATCCAACAGAGTAAAGACCCAGAACACAACTAAAAACGCCAGGGATGGATCAGAACCAAATATTACACTGTTCTGAATTGGCCTCTAAGTCCTGATTATATGAAGTTCTGCCTCACCTGGTGGAGTTTAWAGTTATTTTTAATATTTTAAAATATAATGGGTCGTCATGTATTCGTGATGAATAAGCACCATAAAACTGACCCCCCACCCCCCCACCCCCACCTGTACGACAGGACGGCACAGTGATCATCCACGCCGTCCGGCGGGGTCAGTACATGCGGTGCCTGCGGCCGCCGTGCGACAGCTCCCTGCAGCTGTCCATCCTCCACCTGGCTGTGTCCTGGGAGGGWCACCTGCTGGTCCACACCTGCTTGGAGGGCAAAGCCACACTGAAGGTAACACCCAACAGCTTTTTGACGCTACAAGGAACAGCTGCTATTCGATCMGAGTGCACACGGTTACTTTTACGCTTTTCCCCCCCTTCAGGATAAAAACACTCTTCATCTTTACTCTGTGAACGGGAAGCACCTGTGCAGCGAAGCTCTGAAGGAGCAGGTGACAGACATGTGTGTGACAGGGGAGTACGTGGTTACTGGGAGTGAGCAGGGGTACCTGTCCATCCGTGACCTCTACAGGTAAAGACTCACAAAAACTTTCCTCTGTAAGAAAACTGAATCAGAGGTAGACCGATTGACCGGGCCACTTCTGTACGAGCATTATCCAATTACTGTGTGCAGAACACTTAGCCCCTTCTTCAGTGCACATGGGTCGTTTTTAGAATTAAAACTAAGTTAACTATCAGATCTATGATCATTAAACAGATGGTGAAAATAACTGAACCACTGTTGATGTGTTAAGTTTGACCACTTACAAAGAAACAATCAGTCTCAAATATTTAAGACTAATAACTGATTAATGGAGAGAGACAGAATCCATACTTTCATTTGTTTCACCTGCTTTTCCTTTCCGGGTCTCTGATGCCAGTAGTCACCGTGCGAGAGGCAGGAGATGTCTCCGTCCATGACCAGGACACACAGAGGCAAACAATCATTTCCCTTTAAAAACATTTAAAGAGCCAGAACCCCTCCTGAGGTGTGAAAACCAACTACAGGAAAAAATTTTTATTTTTTATTTTAATTAATTTATTTCATTCGAACAACAATTAAAACAGTACAAATAATAATAATGTTGTGTCAAAAAAACACACAACACAACATGGTCAAATGAAAAGAAGCAGAAAGAAGAAAACAATCTTGTAACACTTGCCCCCATTTAAAAATATCTACAAAACATACAACACACAGAAATTAAACTCAATTTTCAACAGAAACAGAAGAATAATCAACAAAACAACATCACAACAGAAAAATCAATTTCAACCAATAATTTGTTCATATCTCATTAAAAAAAACTTTTAAGCTTTCTACCAAAAGAGTAAATTGTTCCAGCAGAGGTGCATCGCTCCCTCAAATTTGTTCTAATTTTTGGCTTCACAAACATTTCAAGTCCCTTCAAATTATAAACACGATCCCTCTCTTAACAAAGTTGGATTGTATATTRGGTGGCAATACATTTTTATGAGCCTTATRCGTAATCATCAGAATCCTGTAATCTACCAATTCACCAAATTTCAACAGTTCCAATTGCTTAAACAGAATATTTGTAGGGTGATAGTAGTGTTTTCTTGTTACAATTCTCACTGCGTGTAAATGTCTTACCTCTGTGCTCACCAGTAAATGCTGGTCATCCTGGTATAAAACAGTTGGAATGACCTCAGGCTGCGTTGCAAAAGAAACGTGAAAATATTGATTTTTGCAGTAATAAGTCCATAAAGACATCATCTAATCCCAGAAACTAAAGCGGCAAATCCAAAGTTGTTGTTTTTATTATCAAACAGATTTTTAGAAATAATCCTTTTAATTTCTTTTGAAGTTGATCATTTTTCTAAACCTTACATGGAATCCCGTCATGTAATGTTTGTCATTAGTAAGCCTGGGGATCCCCCCACCCTTTTTAAATATAAAACTGGAATTCTCAATGACATCACTGCAGACCAATAAAAATCTACWTTTCAAAGCAGCACTCTTGTAAGCAAAACTAGCTTGTTGATGAGATAAATTGCCAAACTTCATTAAACTGCAGAGCATTTTACAGCTTTTCAGATGGAGAATTTGAAAATAATAGTGAGCATATTATTAATTTTTACAGTGTTTTCTTCTGGATTTCTTATTCTGTCCCACATTTCATTTATATGTAAGTAGACAAACTCAGAAAATCTGTTCAGTTTTTTCCACATCGGATAGAGAAGTTAAGTCGAAASTTACGTATGTAACTATGGTTCTATGAATCCTGAATGACCGCCAGAGGGCGGTGCTAAAAGCACTGAATGTTCCCTTCGCGCATGCGCCGTTCGAGCTGTAATACCAACAGAGTCACACCTGTGACCAATCGGATGACTAATCAGAGGCTATATAGCTTAACGTCATCCGAAGCTCTGCTCCTACAGAATCTTCTCGCAAATGCAAGGATTCTGAGTGACAGAGAAGCTCTTGCGGTCATTCAGGATTCAGTTACACACGTAACTTTTGTTCTCTTTCATCCCTACTGACCGCCAGAGGGCGGTGCTGAAAGCACTGAATGACTAATACCAGCKATGTCACAAGGAATCCTGAGCACCTACCTCACTGAGAAGGCCCAGAGGACCCTTGTAAAAGAACGTATCCCAAAGGGTGAGGAGAAGCCACATTCACATTATAAAATCTAGTGAATGTGCTCGAAGAAGACCATGATGCCGCCGCACATATTGTTTCCAGTGGGACCCCTTTCAGGGCCGCCCAGGAAGTGGAAATGCTCCTGGTTGAGTGTGCCTTCACCCCGACTGGCAGGGAGCAGCCTCCTGCCCTGTAGGCATGGCGGATGACACCCACAATCCAGTGGGAGAGACGCTGTTTTGAAAGGGAACGGCCTAATCTAGGACCTCCATAACAGAAGAACAGCTGGTCTGAGCATCTTATAGGAGCAGTGGCAGCAATATATGTCTCCAACGCCCTCTCTGGGCACAATATATCAGGCCTATTGCCGGTCCCTCCTGACGTAGGCTGAAAACATGCCAATCTCAGTGGCTGGTTACAATGGGAATGCAAAAAAACTTTAGGGGCAAATGCAGTGTTTGGCCACAAGGTAATACCAGAGCCATCTAGGGCCCATTGGAGACATGACAGGCTGGCAGAGAGAGCATGCAGCTCGCCAACCCTTTTAGCTGAGACAGTAGCTAATAAAAATGCTGTCTTACATGAGAGCCACTTGAGGTCCGCCTGAAGCAAAGGCTCGAAAGGAGGGAGGCGCAGGGCTTCGAGGACCAAGGGCAGATCCCAAGCAGGTGCCCGCAGAACTGTTGACGGGTGCAACCTGCAGGCGCCACGCAGAAAAAGAGAAACCAGGTTATGGCTTCCAACTTTACCACCATTAACGTCAGCATGATTAGAGGATATTGCCGCTACATATACCTTAAGTGTTGATGGAGAGCGGCCCTTCTCGAGGAGAGATTTAAGAAACTCCAGGATAGTGGGCACCACACAGGAGACTGGATCCTCATTGCAGTCATCACACCACTGAGAAAACAAACGCCACCTGTTTTCATATTGCTGACGAGTAGAATGTGCCCTAGATCTTAAAATAGTGTACCTGACAGAGTCTGAATATCCAGTCAGCTGCTGCTCAAGCCTTCCACTGGCCACACCCACAGTCTGAGGCGTTGAGGATTGGGGTGCCAGATCAGTCCCCCCCCAACTGAGACAATAAGTCCCTCCTGGTTGGAAGACACCATAGGGTGTCGTGACACAGACTCTGCAGAAGTGGGAACCATGGTTGTGCTGGCCAATATGGAGCTACCAGCAGCACCCTGTGGCCCTCTTCGAGAACTCTSTGAAGAGTCGGCCAAATCAGAGAAAGGGGTGGAAAGGCATAAAAAAGGATCCTTGGCCAGGGATTTGCCAAGGCGTCCTGGCCCAGTGCGCCTGATGCCCCCTTAAAGGAATACCACAGAGGGCAATGATTCGATTCTTCTGTGGCAAACAGGTCTACCTCTGCCTGACCGTAGAGTTGCCATATCATGCGCACTATATCGCTGTGGAGAGACCACTCTCCTGGAGCAGGTGCCTGCCAAGAAAGGGAGTCTGTAGCCCGGTTGTCCTGCCCTGGTATGTACACTGCCCGCAGAGTGGACAGGCGAGGGGAGGCCCATCTCAGGAGATCCCTGGCCACCTTCAGGAGCTGAGCCGACTTGGTGCCACCCTGATGGTTGATGTGGTAGACCACAGAGGTGTTGTCCGATCGAACCAGGACATGTTTCCCYTCCAGGTGGGGCAAGAAGTGCCTGAGAGCTAAAAACATAGCATGCAGCTCCAGCACATTTATGTGTTTGGAGCGATCCTGGTGACTCCAGCGGCCCCGTACCGCTCTGTGCTGCCACACAGCGCCCCATCCATGGAGATGGCGTCCGTCGTGACCACCTCCCTGCGACACACAACCATCCCCATAGGGACACCTTTRGACAAATAAGCTCTGTCCCTCCATGGGTCCAGGCAGGGGCGTAGCACCAAATTCTGGGCCCTGTACACTCTCAATGTCAGTGGGCCTCTATCCATACCAGTGCACGAGGTGCATAAGTAAAAAAAAAAGGGGGGGG